AACCGGATGCTGAACTCATCCGCGTCCTGTCAAAGGCGGTAGAGGATCTGGGCCTCGAGTGGTCGGCTCCGGAAGAGCCCGCCCACGACCTGTTAGACGAGTGGTACCTGCCGGGAAGCCGTCAACAGTCCTCTCACCAACGCCCCGCCCCGTTCTTGCCTGCAGTTAATGACGAGCTCACCAAGGCGTGGTGCGTCCCCTACTCGGCCCGAGTAAATCCCTCTACAGCAGCAGCTCACACCACCGTTGACAGCGCTGACGACAAGGGATACAGCAAGCTCCCCCCTCTGGAGGAAGCAGTTGCTGCTCATCTGTGCCCGCCATCTGCCCTCAGATTAAAGGCCCACGCAGCGCATCCCTCTAAGCCCTGCAGGACCACCTCTGCGCTCGCCAACAGGGCTCAGGCCGGCCAGGCCGGTTCGGAGCTGCAAACAATGGCGGTTCTCCAGGTGGGAGATCGGGTTGGGGTGCCCCTCTTTGGGTGCGAGGGGCTTGGTCTCTTTCGGCGCATCTGAAGAGGACGTCATCATCGAGAACGTTATCACCGACGACTCCATGTCCAGCGTCTGATGCAGAAGATTGGGGAGGTTCCAGCGGAGAGCCCGAAGTCCTTCCCCCTTCTCAAACTCTGAGGCCGAAACCGGACGCCGAACTCATCCGCGTCCTGTCGAAGGCGGTAGAGGATCTGGGCCTCGAGTGGTCAGCTCCGGAAGAGCCCGCCCACGGCCTGTTAGACGAGTGGTACCTGCTGGGAAGCCGTCAACAGTCCTCTCGCCAACGCCCCGCCCCGTTCTTGCCTGCAGTTAATGACGAGCTCACCAAGGCGTGGTGCGTCCCCTACTCGGCCCGAGTAAATCCCTCTACAGCAGCAGCTCACACCACCGTTGACAGCGCTGACGACAAGGGATACAGCAAGCTCCCCCCTCTGGAGGAAGCAGTTGCTGCTCATCTGTGCCCGCCATCTGCCCTCAGATTAAAGGCCCACGCAACGCATCCCTCTAAGCCCTGCAGGACCACCTCTGCGCTCGCCAATAGAGTTTATGTTAGACGAGTAGGCTGAGTAGCTTCCAGCACCGACCCAACCTGGCCGGCCGCTGCATACAATGGCGGTTCTCCAAGTGTTTCAAGCCAAGCTTCTCCACAGTATGGACGAGTCTGGCCAAGAACACCAGGAGGCTTTCAAAGAGCTGCGCACAGCAACAGACCTGGCTCTGCGCGCCACGAAAGCAACGGCGCAGTCGATCGGACCATGGCCAGTTTGGTGGTGCTGGAGCGCCACCTCTGGTTAAACCTCACTGAGATCAGGGACGCTGAGAAGATGGCTTTCCTCGACTCACCAGTCTCACCAAAGGGACTGTTCGGCTCCGCTGTGGACGGGTTTGCAGAAAGGTTTGCGGAGGCTCAGAAGACGTTGCAAGCGCTGCATCACTTCCTCCCCAAGCGCCCTGGCCCCGCGGCTGTGAGCCGCCAGAAGAACCCCGCCACTCAGTCTGCAAAGCTGGCGCAGCCTCAGCCTCAAAGGAAATCTGAGTCTGAGCTGCAGCAGCGCCCCCGGATGGCAAAACGCTTCCCCTTTCCGAAGCATCAAGGTCCCTGCCCACGAGTTGTGCTGGACCACGATCCGCCTAAGCCGTCCTGATGCATTAGAGAGGAAGAGGAGGGGCTCTGTTCTCGCCTCGGCCGGAATGCCCCACAAAACAGCTCGCTTTCATCCTCCATCCCTCCGAGCACCTCTGAGCAATGGAGATTCGTTTCCAGTGGGTCACATCCTGCAGGTGCAGCGCGTACCCGAATGTTTTACCGCTGTGATAGCTTGAAGATTGGCTGGTTCTAGCCAGTTCAGAATGGGAGTTAGCTGTTCACAGAGCACAAGAGTCAGCTGTTGCCCAGAGAATTGTTGACTCCACCAAAATGCGGGCATGGATTACGCCGGAACAATCCCTGACTATTCAACGATTGGCGGCGTCTCTCAAACCGGTTTTTCAGAGGTTGCTCAGCCTTATGGTGGCCGGCGCCTCTGTAATTCCTCTGGGCCTGCTTCACATGAGGCCCCTTCAGTTTTGGCTCAAAGCCCGCGTTCCACCCCACGCCTGGCACCTGGGGCGGCTTCCTGTCAGGGTAGACCACCGCTGTATCAAGGCTGTTGGCCCCCTGGACGACCTCTCGCCTGTTCCAAAAAGGAACGAGGTTAGGCCTGACCTCCAGAAGGAAAGTAGTCACAACAGATGCATCCAACTTGGGTTGGGGCACCCTGTTGGAGGGCAATCCGGCGTTCGGCTCCTGGTCAGCCTCGGAGCAACTCCTGCATATCAACGGCCTAGAAATTTTGGCGGTTTTCTTAGCCCTGAAAACCTTCCTTCCAGCCTTAAAAGGGCACCACGTCTTGGTCCGGTCGGACAGCATGACATCAATCACCAAGGCGGTCTCAGGTCACACACTCTGTACAGGATGGCTCGTTGCCTCCTTTTTTGGGCACAGAACGAACTCCTCTCGTTAAGGGTGGTTCATGTGACGGGCAGATTGAACCTTGGTGCAGACATGCTGTCCAGAGGCAAGGTAGCCACGGGCGAATGGGCGCTACACCCTCAAACGGTTCAAGAGATCTGGTCAGTCTTCGGGAGGGCAGAGGTCGACCTCTTTGCCTCAGAAGACAACTCTCACTGCCCAACATACTTCTCGATACAGCGAGATGCTCTGGCCCACGACTGGCCCAGTGCTCGCCTATATGCGTTTCCCCCGATCGCCCTGATTCCTCAGGTCGTCAGGCGGGCCAGGGAGACCAAGTGCTCTCTCCTCCAAGAAAACGGTACACAATCTAGAGTACAAGGCTGCTTTGGTCTGTTTTTAATCACATTTTAAATGTGTTTATTTACTAAAACGGAATATATAGGACCTCAAAGCTAGACATAAAAGCCAATAAACTCCCATTTGAACTGGTTTTATTGGTCGTTGAACATACAAAACAGTCACTTACATTGTCCATTAAAAACAGTGCGATGTCAACAGTTTTATTGAGTTACACTGCCATCTAGTGATGTCTGTTGTGTCCAACAGCTTTATAATCTGAATTATTATTGATGGAGATGATCAATAATATATTAGCGATCTTCCATCACAATTGTAAACATATAAGGACAATAGTAGACATTAACCATATATTTATGAAAATGACCAACATATGTCATTTTAACATTTTCTAATACATAAACCATAATCCAGTAAAACAAAACAAAAAAACATTCCAGTTCATTCAGGTGTTTCCATCCCAGTTACCATCACATTTATATGAAGAGTTTGGACTTTAACACAATATAAATGACATTTAGCCTGCATATAAAAAGATGTACATACAAATACATGTCATGTTTATGAACTTCACTGAGAGTATAGGATACAGTATGTCTTTTTCTTAAATTGTTAATTACAACAAACGCTATACTGTAAATCTATAAAAAATCATGATTGTCATGCAAAAGCTTTATGCCTGCTGCATCAAACGCTCCACAAAATCAAATCATGAAAATAATTTGCAGTGAACTAATCGTCCTTACTGTAAACTTGAGAAGACATTGAGATGAATAGATGATCAAAAACTGGCTTCTTGCATGAGATTATCTTAAAACATCTGAAAAAGGTTTTCTTTCACTATAGAGGCCTATAAAGCTGCAATAGAACGAGGTAAAATTCTAAGAAAACCATCTGATGTTTTCGCTTCAGTTTTAACTTGTTAATGTGCTGTATATTTGTCAGTCATGAATAAATGAAACACATAAGAAAAAGTTAAGATTTCCGCACACCAAATATATGGCATAGTTTATAATTGAATATTTGCATCTATTTTTTAAATTTAAATAATAATATTTTCAAAACACAAGCTGGTTATTGTGCATTTAAAACAGAATATGACAAATATGCATCACATTAAGTTGGTTAATTTATGTTAAATCTGTTGTTTGTTTGTGTTAAAACTAATCCAAATGCAAATTTAATACAGCCCAATTTTTTTTATGTGTAATTCAAATGCATACATCCTAAATGTAGGTCTTTTATTTTTTTCTTCCATGTTTTATAGTGGATAATAATGCCATCGCAGCCTTAATTCAAGTCTTTGGTCATAATGAGTCAGATGTTTTATACATCGCAGATTCTGTTGTTTGTCACTATAAGACATGAACAAATCCTACCAATGTCAGCTAAGAGCAATATCACTCAAGATATGAGATGAATGTTTGTGAAAAATAAATATATTTACACTCATTTGGCCTAATCTGCAAAAACCTGTTCATTTATCTGTTAAGCCTCTCTGAGACCCGTGTAGACGTCAAAGAAAGTGTCAGAAATTAGGGCTCAGGGAAAAGCACTGCTGAAAGTGTCAAAATGCCCGAGACATGTTGGTAGTGAATTATTTTTAATGTTTTTTTTTTTCCCAAGTTAAAAGCTGTGTGGTTGTAAAAAACAAATCCATCAGTTAAGATGTTTTTAACTCAAAGCATCACTTCTGGCCAAAATACAAGTCCATAATAACCTTTCCTCCAGTGAAAAAGCCCATCTCCTGTTGTTCTCTCACATCAAAATCCACACACATATTTGTTTAGGACTGTTTTAGACTGTTCTGGATTGTAAATGGTGCTTGATCTGTGCATATTTCTCTCCCAATTCAGACAAGAAGACTGGAGAAAGCAATATTATGGATTATGGACTCATATTTTAGCTGGAAGCACTGGTTGGTGCTTATTAAAGACATTAAAACGTCTTAATGATGGATTTGTTTCTTATAAACACACAGCTTTTGGCTTCACATGATGTTAACTGATGGACTGGAGGGGTGTGTGGATTACTTGTGGATTATTGTGATGTTTTTATCAGCTGTTTGGACTCTCATTCTGACGGCACCCATTCACTGCAGAGGATCCACTGGTGAGTAAGTGATGCAATGTTAAATTTCTCCTAAATCTGTTGAAGAAACAAACTCATCTACATTTTGGATGGACTTAGGGTGAATACATTTTCAGCAAATTTTCATTTTTAGGTGAACTTTTCCTTAAAACAAATGTTTTGTGCCTCTCATCAGGTTCTCATCCACTTCAAACCCTCACAAAACAAGAGCTGCCAGCAGCCAGGCGAGCATCACCAGAGAAGCGGAGATGCTTTCCATCTTGGATCCATGGCTCACTTCACTTTCTATCCCTCTCTCAATTTTAACGTGCACTTGAGTTGGCTCTTCAGGAGCAGCGACAGGCTCTGTCGTCATTCGTGGATGCTCAGGTAAGACAGTCGGAGCTTCGGTGTCGTCTGACTCGGGCTTCTCAGATGAATTAAAGAGATTCTCAGCCACTGTGTGGAAGAGAGAGTTTTGAGAGAAGCGTGTACAATAAAAATAGTCATAGTTTAGTTTTTCATTTGATCTCATGTTGGATCTCAATTGATAAAGTCTTCACATTACCGCACATGTCGTCCTCACACAATGATAGATTATCTGGACACTTTGAGCATGGCTCTCCAGACTCGTATGGCTTTTGTCCCTCAAAATTTCCTCTGTAATGAAGGAAAAAGAATTTTGATCAGTGTTTCTCAATTAGCGGGCCGTAAAATGGCTTAAATATAAGACAAAATAAGATATTAAATATGCTTAAATAACTCAAAATCAAGATGAAAACTGACATTGTATTTATTATTTTGTTACTTCAATTCATTTTATTTAGGAACCAGGGTTCTCACATTTTAGAAATTTTTAAAAGTGAGATTTCCAGACCTACAAAAGTTATGGAAAAACATGGAAATTTCTAAAAAGAATAAAAAATTTTAAGTTATGTCAAGCTCTAAATTAAAATAATTGAATTTTATTTTGCTGAGACATTGGTGTTTGTGAGTTAAAATATTTTTAAAAGCCTCACATAAGCACATTACATAACAACAAACAAGCAAGCAGAAAAAGCCATATAAATTCATTACCTTTTTTTAATATAATTTTTAATATAATTGATTATAATTTTAATATGATTATTTGGATGATTTCATATTTATTTTTATTATTACATGTATTTTTAATAATTATTTTGATTTTAATATGATTATTTTGATTATTTCATATTTATTTTTATTATTACATGTATTTTTAATAATTATTTTGATTTTAATATGATTATTTTGATTATTTCATATTTATTTTTATTATTACATGTATTTTTAATAATTATTTTGATTTTAATATATTTTTTAAATAATTATTATGATTACTTATTATTTATTTTTTATGTAATTTATTTGTATTTAATCATTTAAATATATTGTCACTCCTATAGTTTCTGTAAATAAAAAAAAGTTTGACAACAAGCAGTTAATCAGAATCAGTCTTGCATAATGGGGACCTTGGAGTCAAAAATGTTGAGACACTGCTTTAGAGGTGTATTTCATTATTAGCTGATTGTGCAGACCAGTAGATTTACAGTATTTGTATATGAGCCCATATGATGCTAAGTTGCATCTTATAACACAATAAATACTGTATAACTGTCCAGGTTGTGTTATAGAGTGTTTTAGAACACATTCTAGAACGCTGAGGTAATGTTCAGTGTGGGTTATTCAAATGCACTTACGTAGGGTAGTAATCACAGACAAGAAGAGTGGCCTTTTTAAAATCCAGACCCTCAAGAGTGTCACAGGAATGAGTAGCACAGCCGATTCTATTGCTGTCTGCCCAGACCATCTGTACAACAACAGAGAAACACATCATCACATCTGCATATTCATGCTGTGAAAACCAATCAAACACACCGAACAGAAACAGTGTTCACCTGAGTGTAATGGCCACACATTTTGTCTTCAGGACAGTTATTGGTTTCAAAATCATAATCCACATGCTCTCCAAACCTGTGTGTGCAAAGAAATGAGTTGCACATCTGCTTATAGATCATATTTCTGCATATCACATATTTTTTATGTCTCATTTATGTTTTAGTGAAGGCATTTGTCATACCAGTCCAGCAATGCTTTGGTTGCATTAAATGTTCCAGTGCCTACAAAGAGATTTTCTCCCATACTGAGCTCCTCAAGTTGAGGGTTGTGATCCCAGATGCATTTTGCAGCATATGCTTCTGCCACCACACGCAGTGCCTCGTCCCACACCTCAAACAACACAAACAAGTTTGTTGATATTTGACATTAAAGGTGGGGTAAGTGATTTTTCAAAAACGCTGTAGAAAACTGATTCAGGCCGTGTAGCAAAACAAACTTGTAGCCAATCAGCAGTAAGGGGCGTGTCTACTCATGATGTGGAGGAGAGAGCGTTCAGTGCACAGGACAGACATTAGCCGAGCCGAGCGACAGAAAGATAAAGATGGCGGATAAAAAACAAAAGAAGAAAAACGTCTACGGAACAAAAGAAGGCTTAAGGCAAGAAGTAGGACCCATGTAAATATCGGATCAGCTTTCCAGCACTGGAGAGAACTCGAGGAGCGGAAGGCCTGTGATCGGATGCCGAGGTTGCTTTGTTTCTTCTCGATAGGCGAGTAACACTGTCTGCGCCGCAACAACTAAAGTCTGTCTAGTACACTGGACGCGACAAAGCGACCGTTGAAAATCATTTGAAATGTGTGTCAATACGTCATGAATAGAACACAGCAGCAGTTTTCTGTCTGGGATTTGTCGTGTCGTGTCGCGCCGCATCCAGTGTAGACCATAGATATATATATCTATGGTGTAGACAGCATCACTGATTATAATGAGTTCTATAGTATTTTGTCGCGCCGCACCACTCGCGTCCAGTTTAGACACGGTGTAACATTGGTTTTGCTTTGTTTCACAGAACTAATCGTTGCCTGGTTTGTGTACGTATGTGTGGGGCGGTGCTATCAAAATAGGGGCGAGACCCTTTTGGGGTAGGGGCGTGTCTGTTTTGGTGATTTCAAATGTCAACATTGGCTACCAGAAATTGCTTACCCCACCTTTGAACGCGTGTTTGTTTTGGTGATTTCAAATGTCAACATTGGCTTCCAGAAATCACTTACCCCACCTTGAAGAATGGTGATTTTTACTCAACTTTTAATTAAACCATTTAGAAGATTTTTTTTTTCTTGTACATAGATCAGTCAGTCATTGAGTGAATCTTGCAATGCTTGGTCATATTTCACCCTAATATCCAAAGACGAAAAAAATTTATTTTACATATTTAATAAAATATTTTTTGAAATTGTAAATAAAACAAGGGTTATTGGAATATGTTTTAAGAAAATAAATAACATTTTAGTCTTTCTATTTTAAAATTGAATGTAAATTGAATTTGAGTGAAAATTGACTCAAAGTCAAGTTTTTTTTTGTAAGTAGAATTATTATTTTACATAATTGTAGTTATTGTGTTTAGGTAAAATTATAATTTTAATTAATATTCCAACCCGATCTCATGAAAGTGCGTATAAATAGTACGCCAAATAAAAACAAAAACTTGTGGTATTGATACCCAAAAATTGTGTATCATATGCGTATCATATGCACGGCAACAAATTTCATATCATATGCACGCGAAAACTGTGTATTATATGCACGCCAAATACGTGCGTATCATATTTGCGTATCAGTGCCACGAGTTTTTGTTTTTATTTGGCGTACTATTCATATGCATTTTCATGAGACCGGGCTTGATATTCAGTTAATTAAATAATTAATAACATAATTAATATTTCACGAGTATTAGAGCATTAAAATATAATGCAAACAAAAAGTCATGTTTTCACTTCCATGACGTAAAAAAAATTATAATTTTAATACTAAAGTTTTTATATTGTAGTGTAAAGTATTTTATTTTTATGGTGGTGTTTGTTGTAGTTCCTTTAATTTATGAAGGAATGAATGAATAAACAAGCTTTGTTTTCTTTAAAAATGCTAAATAACTTTAAATTTGCATTAAAATATAATGCAAACAAAAAGTAATGTACTCAGTACAGTAATGCAAAAAAAATAAAATTTTAATAATAATTTTAATAGTTTTGTTTGTTGTACTGCCTTTAATTTATGCTGGAATAAATAAATAAAACATAAATAAGCAAGCTTTTTTTAAAATCTTCATTCAAGACCATTTTCTTTTTTTCTTTTTTTTTGCAGTGAAATATGACCCAGACATGTTGTTTGTACAATCCACCCCACTGTTGTGTAAATGTAAGTGAACAAAATATGTTTCACAAGAGGACCAGAGACTTTTCCACTTTAAATCTTCCCATAGTTGTGCTCTGAATTTCACCCACAATACAAACACGAGGCCGTAAGACCGGACTACCACATGGGGCTTTATTAAAACACTCACACTCCTCAGCATGTCTCACACACGTTGCGCAACAGTATCATTGCATCCACACACCCACACACACTCCATCCAGTCAAAATCAAGCCGCTTCATGATTTCTGTTTGAAAAGTAAACTCATTCATTATAATACCAGCTTTGTACTGCTGTGATTCTTGCATTCACATGGTAAAGAGGTATGTTTCACACAGCAACAATGCTTAAAGAGACAGTTCACCCAAAAATGACAACTCTATCAGCATTTACTCACCCTCAAGTTGTTCCAAACCTGTATGCATTTCATTCTTCTGCTGAACACAAAAGAAGATATTTTGAAGAATGTTGAAACTAAATAGTTTCTGCTCCCCATTGACTTCCATAGTATTTTTTCCATGCAATGGAAGTCAATGGCTACCATGCAGCAACAACATTCTTCAAAATATCTTTGTTTTTGTTCAACAGAAGAAAGAAAGGTTTGGAACAACAAATGAGGTTGAGTGGATGATGACACAATTTCATTTTTGAGTGAACTGTCCCTTTAAAGGAGACTAGATAATGAGCGAGAAGTTTTCATTTGGTAAACTATAATCATGATTACAGTATTACTTTGACTCCCTTGTGTTTCAGATGGGATTGCGCCATGAATATGCATGATGACTCAATTACCATGGATATTAATGTGATAATTATTGTTTACAGCAGTAATGAGACAGTGAAAGATGTGATTCCAGTGATTGATGGCAGACGATGAGATGCTCTGACCTCGTAACTCACATGCAACACACAAACACTGAGCTCAAGTCCAAAACCAATCATAAAAACATTAACAGCCCTCACTTCACACACATGTGGATGGGAAAGATGTTTTCTATATATCATGTAACATTCAAAAGTTTGCATGTACTTTTCCTTTAACTAAGACGTCATATTCAGTAGCTCATGTACCAGTCTAGCTTACACCAAAAAAAAAAACCCCCGTTGTGTTTCTCCAGTCAGGTGCATCTCTTACCACTTTCTGCATGAAGGTGGCGCTGGGCTGAACCTTAGAGCGAAGCTCATTGTGCAAGTCAATGATAGTTGATTTCTCCTGCTCAGTCAGCTGACCAGCAGCTAAACTCAGAATGACCCAGAGCCCGGCGCTCCGGAGGGCCACGTTCCAATGCATGCTGCCTCTTCTCCCTGAGGAGCCTAAACAAGCCGTCGGATGAAACCTCTTGGCTGCTCTCAGGTCTGTCACTCGCTGTCCTTAACGTCTGCAGTGTCTGTCTCTGGGCTGTTAGTGTGTGGAAGAGGGAGAGAAAGTTAGTATGGGACACACTCAGCACTCCCACCCTCTCGCCCCTGTATTTAAGCCGCCCATGGTCGTATTACACATCTCACACACACACATAAACGTACTCGTATTACTCATTTTCCTTACCTCACCAGAAATCTTCACATCACTCATTGGTAGCCAACTGACAAGTCAAGCAAGGATCTCTAAAACGCCAAAGATTTCAGATAAGATTGTTTTAGTCACTTGGAGTGTCATAGCAGTTCTGCTTGAGGAATGCCTGAGATAACAGGGATTTGTTTTGACCTGCCTGTATTGTCCATGCAGATCCTGGTCTCATTTCTTCAGTGCCAGGCTCTGCTGTCTCCGGCAGGGATTCACCCTTATATTCAGCCCGTGCACACTACAGAGGGTCCCTCCCTGCCACCGGTTACACTAATCCAGCTCTGGTTTACTGTAAGTGACGCCAGTGGAATTCTTTACCGCCTTTTCTGGCTTAGAGGATTATTTGATTAGAAGGATAAGGTCTGAATTATTGAAAATTATAAAAAAATAAATTATTAGCTGCTTTGGTTGCCCTATACATCTCAAGTCACAATATTTCAAGCTTTTTCTGAAGAAAATGTGAAGGACATTACATTGCTACATAAGTTGCTGCTAGGGTGTTGTGGGTGGTTGCTTGAGAGTTGCTGTTTGGTTGCTAGGGTGTTTTGGATGATAGATAGGGAGCTGTTACTGTGTTCTGGGTGGTTGCTGGGGTGTTGCTAGGGTGTTGTGGGTGATTACTAGGGACTTGCTGTGTGGTTTTTAGGGTGAACTGGATGATTGCTAGGGGACAGTTACTGTGTTCTGGGTTGTTGCTGGGGTTTTGCTACAGTAGGATGTTGCTAGGATGTTGTGGGTGGTTGTTAGGGAGTTTCTGTGTGGTTGCTAGGGTGTTCTGGATGATGGCTAGGGGGCTGTTACTGTGTTCTGGGTGGTTGCTGGGGTATTGCTACAGTAGGTGGTTGCTAGGATGTTGTGGGTGGTTGCTATGGAGTTGCTATGTGGTTGCTAGGGTGTATTGGATGATTGCTAGGGGGCTGTTATTGTGTTCTGGATGGTTGCTGGGGTGTTGCTAGGGTGTTGTGAGTGGTTGCTAGGGTGTACTGGAGGATTGCTAGGAAGCTGTTACTGTGTTCTGGGTGGTTGCTGGGTTGTTGCTTGGGTGTTGTGGGTGGTTGCTAGGGAGTTGCTATGTGGTTGCTAAGTTGATTTCTCCTGCTCAGTCAGCTGACCAGCAGCTAAACTCAGAATGACCCAGAGCCCGGCGCTCCGGAGGGCCACGTTCCAATGCATGCTGCCTCTTCTCCCTGAGGAGCCTAAACAAGCCGTCGGATGAAACCTCTTGGCTGCTCTCAGGTCTGTCACTCGCTGTCCTTAACGTCTGCAGTGTCTGTCTCTGGGCTGTTAGTGTGTGGAAGAGGGAGAGAAAGTTAGTATGGGACACACTCAGCACTCCCACCCTCTCGCCCCTGTATTTAAGCCGCCCATGGTCGTATTACACATCTCACACACACACATAAATGTACTCGTATTACTCATTTTCCTTACCTCACCAGAAATCTTCACATCACTCATTGGTAGCCAACTGACAAGTCAAGCAAGGATCTCTAAAACGCCAAAGATTTCAGATAAGATTGTTTTAGTCACTTGGAGTGTCATAGCAGTTCTGCTTGAGGAATGCCTGAGATAACAGGGATTTGTTTTGACCTGCCTGTATTGTCCATGCAGATCCTGGTCTCATTTCTTCAGTGCCAGGCTCTGCTGTCTCCGGCAGGGATTCACCCTTATATTCAGCCCGTGCACACTACAGAGGGTCCCTCCCTGCCACCGGTTACACTAATCCAGCTCTGGTTTACTGTAAGTGACGCCAGTGGAATTCTTTACCGCCTTTTCTGGCTTAGAGGATTATTTGATTAGAAGGATAAGGTCTGAATTATTGAAAATTATAAAAAAATAAATTATTAGCTGCTTTGGTTGCCCTATACATCTCAAGTCACAATATTTCAAGCTTTTTCTGAAGAAAATGTGAAGGACATTACATTGCTACATAAGTTGCTGCTAGGGTGTTGTGGGTGGTTGCTTGAGAGTTGCTGTTTGGTTGCTAGGGTGTTTTGGATGATAGATAGGGAGCTGTTACTGTGTTCTGGGTGGTTGCTGGGGTGTTGCTAGGGTGTTGTGGGTGATTACTAGGGACTTGCTGTGTGGTTTTTAGGGTGAACTGGATGATTGCTAGGGGACAGTTACTGTGTTCTGGGTTGTTGCTGGGGTTTTGCTACAGTAGGATGTTGCTAGGATGTTGTGGGTGGTTGTTAGGGAGTTTCTGTGTGGTTGCTAGGGTGTTCTGGATGATGGCTAGGGGGCTGTTACTGTGTTCTGGGTGGTTGCTGGGGTATTGCTACAGTAGGTGGTTGCTAGGATGTTGTGGGTGGTTGCTATGGAGTTGCTATGTGGTTGCTAGGGTGTATTGGATGATTGCTAGGGGGCTGTTATTGTGTTCTGGATGATTGCTGGGGTGTTGCTGGGGTGTTGCTAGGGTGTTGTGAGTGGTTGCTAGGGTGTACTGGATGATTGCTAGGAAGCTGTTACTGTGTTCTGGGTGGTTGCTGGGTTGTTGCTTGGGTGTTGTGGGTGGTTGCTAGGGAGTTGCTATGTGGTTGCTATGGTGTTCTGGATGATTGCTAGGGAGCTGTTACTGTATTCTGGGTGGTTGCTGGGGTGTTGCTACAGTAAGCTGTTGCTATGGTGTTGTGGGTGGTTGCTAGGGAGTTGCTATGTGGTTGCTAGGGTGTTCTGGATGATTGCTAGGGAGCTGTTACTGAATTCTGGGTGGTTGCTGGGGTGTTGCTACAGTAAGCTGTTGCTATGGTGTTGTGGGTGGTTGCTGTACTGGATGATGGTTAGGGGGCATTTACTGTGTTCTGGGTGGTTGCTGGGGTGTTGCTACAGTAGGTTGCTGCTAGGGTGTTCTAGGAGTTGCCAGGGAGTTGCTGTGTGGTTGCTAGTGTGTTCTGGATGATTGCTAGGGGGCTGTTACTCGGTTCTGGGTGGTTGCCAGGGAGTTGCTATGTGGTTGCTTGGGTGTTCTGCATGATTGCTAGGGGGCTTTTACTGTATTCTGGGTGGTTGCTATGGTGTTGCTACAGTAGGTTGTTGCTAGGATGTTGTGGGTGGTTGCCAGGGAGTTGCCATGTGGTTGTTCTGGGGGATTGCTAGATGGTTTATGAGGTCTTCTGCTGGTTGCTGGAGTGTTGCTAGGGCGTTTCTAGGATGTTGGGGTGTTGCTATGGTGTTCTCTGTGGTTTCCAGGGAGTTGCTCTGTGGTTGAGTTGGTAGGGTGTTCTGGGAGGTTGCTATATGATTTCTGACATGTTCCGAGTTGTTGCTATGCTGTTGCTGTGTTGTTGCTAGGGTGTTCTAAGTGATTGCTATGGGATTGTTGGGTGGTTTCTAGAGTATTCTAACTGGTGGTTGCCAGGGAGTTACTATGTGGTCGCTAGGTGGTACCTTACTGTCAATAACAAAGCTTGTTAAGAGAAGCTTTGGCGATAATATCCTTACAATTATGGAGTTTTCAAACTAGCTATGTTTCCATCACCCTGTTTTTATGTGCATTTTGAAGTATCGCATCAGAAACGAGTGATAGAAATGGTTAATGTGAATAATGGGAGATGGAAAAGCATTTGCCTAATAAAGTCCTCCATGCACATCAAAAAAGTCATGCGGCATAACCTGACTAACCAGCGGACCAATCTTGTTGCACAGCATCTGAAATATTTTGGTCATTCTGAAATGCCTGAGTAAAGTCTGTTGTCAAAGTATTATTTGCTCCCAGAACTGTCTTACACAACTGTGTTCCCGAACAGCAGGCATCCACCTCCAAATGCAATGACCGCATTCATTGTTTCATCTGCTCACTCTGTGGCACAAGTCATTTATTATATTTATTTAATAAAAATTGTTATGTTCAGTGGCTTCTCTCACTTTTCTTAGTAATATCTAGTGCCAGTTTATCAGGAAGTGATGATTTTGTGCCTCTTTGACTCGTCGGATGAAAACGGTGCTTATTTGCGAATGTTTTATGCAATATTCTTGCACACAAGTTAAATTCGTAACTTTGGATGGAAACCCGGCTAATGACACATAGATGTGCGTCTTTTATTGTTCTTTGAGTGTCTGGCATCTACATGTCAGGGAACTCATTTTCACATACCCGTCAGTCTCCTGTATGATTATGTAACGTGTCTTGTGTGAATGAGCTGACAGATTTTGTCTAAACTAAACAAAATCCTTCTTTTATCAGTTTCAGTAGTAATTCACTTGTATGTGGCTCTCCAGTGATCCATTCACGATACACACACACACATACACACTCATATTATGACGTATGCAATGATGGGTGATTTGTTTAGAGATGCTTAGAGATGAGAAAACAAACAGTTCATCTGAGCAAAACTCGTCCAAACCACAGCTGAAACTCTGCTTTGCGTTTCCCAGGTGTATATCACTCTTCCATGTGTTTGATCATCCATTCAAGCTTTTCCAGTCTCAAGCGGATCTTGAGAGACCCTGAGATCATGTGTGGAATGGATTAATGCATTTAATGTTCAAAGGAGTAGAATCTTAATGTATCATTTTATTGTTCTTTGAGTGTCTGGCATCTACATGTCAGGGAACTCATTTTCACATACCCGTCAGTCTCCTGTATGATTATGTAACGTGTCTTGTGTGAATGAGCTGACAGATTTTGTCTAAACTAAACAAAATCCTTCTTTTATCAGTTTCAGTAGTAATTCACTTGTATGTGGCTCTCCAGTGATCCATTCACGTGAGTTGTACTATAAAGTTTGTATTACTGGTTTTGAAGTGCTGTTGAACTGGTTTATTTCTCTCTGCTGTAGGGCGTTGTTCAGGGCGTGGACACTTTCGCCGTTCAGATTGTGATTTCCAGCAGCCAGATGTACAGGCATAGCAACTCCAGACTCCAAACACCATAACACTGCACATGTGTGCGACTCACAGCCAATGACGTGTTGCAGCAGTGTTCAAAAATGCACCAAAATCCCCCTTTTTTCATCTGTTTGGGTTCTGACCCTTTTTTGTATTTAAACAATAATTTCACTTGTCATTCAACTCTATGACATATATATATATATATATATATATATATATACTGTATATATATATATATATA